GGCACTTGGCAAATGGCAATTCTTTGCAAACAGCAGCTCTTTTCGAACTGTATCTCTCCATAAATGCCAGCAAACAGCAGCTCTTTGTAACAGCAGCTGTTCACAAATGGCAGCTCTTCAGCGGAAAAAAGACTTAAGTCAGAGAGAGGAGTGATTCGTTTTGTTTTTTGGGTAATAGCAATTCATCCATGCAAAATGTAAATGCCTTAAAGATATAAAACAGAAAAAAAAAACCAAAAACAAGCGATTAAGAAGCGTGCTGGAATAATCTACCTTACCCGGGTAATAGCAATTCATCCATGCAAGATGTAAATGCCTTAAAGATATAAAACAGCAAAACAAAAAACCCAAATGGTTAAGAAGCGTGCTGGAATAATCTACCTTACTTTGTGTCACTCTCAGCCCTATTCTGTGGGGTTTTTTTGTTGTTTATGGGCTGAACTTTGAAATTACCCTCTGGAATTTGACAACAGTTAGAAAATTCTGAATTTTGGATTTGATCCCTTTTCAGACATTATTGTTTTTTTGTTTTCAGCCTTTCATTATAAATTGAACTCCTGTAAACTACTTGGCTACTTTGAGACCAGCAGCAAGAAAAAAAAGACCCTGTGGTCCCTGCCTGAATCATGCCATTGTTCAGAAGCACTGCAGGTCAAACCAGCAACTGGTTATGAAGGAACATGCTTTATCCAACCTCTACTTACTACATTAGTGTCTCAAGAATCCCCACAGACTTAAAAAGGAAGAAAACAAGAGGAAGAAAACGGGTTGCATCCTGATATCTGGTATCAGTTGACCTGCAGCAAAGGGTAAAAGGTGTTTTACCATGACTACAAGCATTGTGCTCCTTTGGGCATTCCACTGGAAATGCTTTTTCCCTACCAACTTGTATAGAGATGGTAAAATATTTGAAACTGCTTCCCAGAGAGTTTGTCTCAGCAGCAGCAGAGAGGAGACACTCTATGGCAGCCTGACTAGTGAAGCACAACGCAGGGTGGTGACAACCAGTGCTACAAATTCTGCAGAGAAATCATACCACCGAGCATCCTCATTCCTGGCACACTGCTCCCTGAATGACTGTGTAGACAAATGAAATATAGGCAAATATTGACTAGTCTATCCTTTGAACACACTTCAGGAAGGCAGATGAAATGAAAATCAGAGCTAAGAAAAGCGGGGTGATTGAAAGATAAGCAACTTGTCCAGAATTGCATTCAGATGATGTCAGAGCAAAGATGCAAATAGCAAATTTCTTTACATGGCACAAAAAAAATGATAAAAACAAAAGGAAGGATTATGATTTCAATGTAATTTTTGTTAAGTAAAAGATGACAATTATTCCAAAGTATATATTTTGTGCTTCTTAATGAACAGAACACCACAGCTTTATTTACTCAAGTCTACCCAGAAGACTTCAGTGGACCTTCAATCATTGTTCTAATCAAGCTTCATTATGTATGACATACAACTTCATCTGGCTTGAAGTTTAGTGAAAAAATGCTTCTTTAATTAACTTGTTTAATGATCTTAATTCTCTTTCATTTAAACTCAGGGATGACCCTTAGAGAATTCAATGTACCATCGTTAAAATATGTAGAAAAAGCTATTTTGTCTCAGACGCAGCAGTTTAGACACACAACCCCAGATGCCTGATTTAAAAATGCATCTACATCCTCATCCTTTATCAAGTTACCTGACACTTAACTTTTTAGGGGACCACATCAACTTTATTCTCTTCAACTCTAATGAACACAGATATAACTTATAAAGAAATGAAATAAACATGAATCCTCTATTGATTTCTAGAAACTCGCTTTAAATTAATCCAACTGTTCCCAGTGTCTGGCCTTGACTCTCCTACCCTGGCTTCTCATCCCTTTCTAAACTGAAAAATTATGAAGAGCAACACCACGCCGGCAGTGAGCCGTGAAAGCAGGATCATTTGAAACGAATTGAGTATTTCCACAGGTCCAAGGTTTTAGACAGTTACTTAACCTTTAAGATTAATTTTAGAAAAATCACTGTCTTTGCATAATTTCCACTGGATAAATTGGGCAATAAAAGCCTCCCCTCTTCAACCTCCTCTCCCCCAATTTTGAAAATCATGTCATAGAAGCTGGATCAGAAATGAAAGCTTTCAGCTGCTTGGAAAAATGTTAGTCACAGAAGTATCTCATAAAATAAGCAGTGCTCAGCTTGGCAAAGGGTCTAGGTTTGCTTTTTCCAAGCAAAAGAAAAAAAAAGTATTTTACTTTGCTATTTCAGACGGCTCAAAATGTCATCATCTATGCTTATAGTGACCTAGATCCCAGATATTTTTCTAAACCCACCACCCAGTGGATGGGATGGTTAAGCTACAGCACAAAATAACCTGCCATAGCATGGAAAACTCACTGCTTTTCATCATTGGATCGAATTCTGCAACAGCTTCTTTTTATTTGGCAAAATATTTTATATCCCATAATCTCTCTTTCTTTAAGACTAAACAGCAAAATTCTATGGTGTTACATTACAGCTAACCTTACGTTTAGAAGAGGAATTTTCACTGTAGCAAAGCAAGTCTTGCTCGTTAGGGCTTTTGAAACTTTCACTCAGTGTTCCCATTCTCACATGACTTCCTAAAACTCAAGGATTCATGCTTGCCATCTAGTGGCTTTGAGCAGAATTAGAAGCAATCTGTTAACAACAAAGTAGAAATTATTATATTTGTGTGTGTGTGCTAAAAGATGGTTGGTTTTAATTTATGGTTATGTTTGAAAGTAAAAAAAAAAAAATCGTTCTGAAATTGTACCTGGAAAAGAGGACTATTCCCTCCACATAACCATTAACTGATCACAGAAGGCAAACAGAAGATTAATGAGTGGCCACTGAGTCTCCTGTGAAAAGAACAGGTGTGGTTACTGCATTTGAGCATTTGATAGACCTGCACTGGCTGGAGGAGGAGGTTACTCTGAGTACTCATCATACCCAGCATGTCCTTCCTTATGGCAGTCCTGGAAATCCAGAAGACAATCCAAGCAGAGCACAAACATTGTTTGTCTGCCTTCATTAAAATAAAATTGTTACCTGTTTGCAAAAAAAAAAAAAAAAAAAAAAAAAAAAAGTTAAATAAGATTCCATGGGGGCTGATATCACCATTTGTTGCTGTTCTGCAGAAAACATACGTGCTTCAGTTATGGTCATTAAATAAAAGATAAAAAGTTGAGTCTAGAACCTCCCAAACACCCTCTTTCAGCCAAATGCACTAATCCCTAGGATGTCGTACAGCTCCATATTTTGTCTTCTTTGTCTAGTTTCATTTACTTTGCACTCTCGGATATACAGCAATGTATCTTCAACAAAAAGATACATTTCCCTCCAAAACAAACACAACCTGTTTCAAGGTGATTATCTTCAAAGACACAGCTGCCAAGTCTCTAGAATTTAAAATGGTGTTGCACTAAAATTCTCAAAAAAATCCAAACTGTCCATTCTATGCAGGGAATGCGGGGCAGTACTTTTCCAGCGTATCTTCAACAAAAAAATACATTTCCCTCCAAAACAAACACAATCTGTTTCAAGGTGATTATCTTCAAAGATACAGGTGCCAAGTCTCTAGAATTTAAAATTGTGTTGCACTAAAATTCTCAAAAAAAATCCAAACTGTCCATTCAATGCAGGGAATTTCAGGGCAGTACTTTTCCAGGGAAAAATAACCCTCCCTCTTTGTGCGAGTCTTCTTTCTGGAATTACTACCTAAAATAAGTCACTCAGCAGAATTAGTTAACTACGATTTTTGCAAAAGATTAAACTATTGTGAGCCACAGCACAAATCCATGTATTAGCAAAATCACACATACTAAAAATGGTCTCAATTCTGCTCAACTCTCAGAATACTATTGTGTGATAGTTTGATTAGAAAAACCTAGAATATTTATGAAATGCTAAGAAAAAGGAAAAAATACATGATTGCGGAAAGTGACATCGTCTCAGATCAAGAAGTGAGAAGTGGAGAAGTAAACTGCAGAAACAGCTGGTCTTTGCAGTTTTTAAAGCTTTGATATAATCAATGAGTCTACAGAAAGACCAAACAAGCAGCACTAGGAAGGTCTGCTTTTGAAGCAGAGAAAAACGTATATACCCTCAATGAAACATACAGGAGAACTTGTGATTTGTAGAGCCTCTACAGTTCTTAAGGAATCTCAAATCCAGACCTGAAGATAATTCCAGGTTTTTGCATTAACCATGAAATTACTCCAATTTCTATTACATGGATCACCAAGACAGACACACATAATAACATACACCTATATTGAATGAATCCTCATTTTAAGTCTCTAAATCTTGTTACTTTAAAAGCCACAAATCCACTATGGACTAGAGTCTATAAACTGTTGCTTTTCACTAGTCTTTCTATACCTGGCTTTTATAGAAGTTTCTTGCACAGGCCAGTATTTCCAAACAAATGACTGCAGGAAAAATAGAGTAGAAAATTGTGAAGGACTGACTTTGGTATAATCTTCTCCCTCCCACCCACCTTCTTATTTGGGGGAGTGAATAGGGAATAATATTTAGTAAGTTATTTTCAGAAGTAATATAATGAAGAGGCACTTAGACATACTTAACAAAAAGGCTTTCTTTACGTAAGTATAGAAGCCATAATAAAAATTAACTAGCAACTGACAAGTTCTGTGCATATTTTTAATGCACAGCTTATAGAGTTCCTCAGTAAAAATAGCTCATAACAAAGTCTTTCATCTCATGCATGTATAGTATAATATTGATTTAAAAGATACAAACTAGGAAGTAAAAAAAATGCACTATCATGAAAGCATTTCCAATACCAACAGGTAGGAGGCATTCTTTATCTGGATATCATCATCTTCTAGCTCACTATTTTGTCTTCATTTAAGAAAAAATAAACTTCTAGTTTGGAAACTCCCCTTACATTTCATTCTTTCAGCTGACTGCAGGTAAAACGCTTGTAAATACAAAAGGAAAAAGAAGAGGTGACAATTTTGTAAGCTGTATTATATAGGGTATGTATTTACCATATAAAAGTTGACTGTTCCTTTAGGAACTGGATATTTATGTTTACTGGCTTTTGCAGTACCAAATATTTTTCTCCACATGGAACTTTTATGTCATGTTTATAAAATAAAACAAAGCCAAACTTCATGCATTTTAAAGAACCTTTCTTAGTGTAAGTTTTCAGTGAGAAAACATGGTCCACTCTGGTTCACATCCTTGCAACGACACACACACACACACAAAAGAGTATGACAAAATACAATTAAGTAATCTCTCAATTTTAAACTTTTGAATCTGCTGTAATTAAGAAAGTAATACTTGATAATAAGTTTCAGGATAAAGAGATGTCAGTATAAAAGGTCTGGGCCATCACAGAGCACTTTGAATCCTTCCCAGTTTCATGCTTGTTATTTCAGAAGCAATAGCAAATAATGTATTTATGACAGAAGTATCAGATCCAAAGACTGAATTTCTAATGCTATTACAAATGTAAAAGAAATCAGAAGCATAAAAACTGATGCATGGATAGAAAGTTAGTGATTAAGAAACAAGAAATGGAAAACTACCCCCTTTTAATAACTGCAAAAGACGAAACTGACTTTCAGCAAGAATTTTTTACAATTCTCTTCCTGGCATTTGAAATAAAGCTTGTGAAAGATATGCTGTAAAATTTCTTAACTGTTTATTAATGAATATTTTGAAAAACTAGATTAGGCACTCCATTTCTTTGGAAGGGGTTGACAATCCTTTTTACAGATGCATTGAAGTTGCACAGTTTGTATGAAAAATGTGTAGTTTTCAGTGTTAACAATACAGACAACTGTAAAACAGCAGAGTATCACACACAGTCTGCAAGTTTCTTTCTTTCTTCATATTGTTTGTCTACTGCAAGTGAAAGAGCTTGAAGAAACGTTGTCATTGTAACACTGGGGGACTGAAAATAAGAGAACATTTTGTTAGACACACTACAGCAATAAGCATATGTAATATTTTACATACAAATCACAGTATTTAAAAGAGAAATAGTTGGCTTCCATATTACAAAATTTTCAAAATGCTACAAAACATAAAAAGGCAGATTTCTTTTAAATCAGGTAGCACAATAAAGTCAATCACTATTACTGTGGATTTGCTTCAAAGAAGGTTTTAAACAAATTAATATTATTTATAAAGTGGCAGAGAGTTGTCTTTCAGCCAGATATTATCAGAGAACCAATATCAATGTCTCTCACAACATTTAATTAAAAGTAAAATGCTGTTGGACAGGTCAATCCCACATGTCTTCCTCAATTTCATTTTAAAATTACAAGCAGTACAGAATTGTTTCAGTCTATAAAACCGCAGAAATGGTGCAATTTAGCTTTAAAGAGGAGTTTAGGCCCAATCTTTTACTTCTGGCAGCATCCAAATGTCTTCCCTCCCATGTCAAAACCAACCCAAAGTATAATGAATAGAATAAACTTAATTGAATAGAATAAACTTACTTGAATATAAAGCGCATGTGCTAGGAAAGGAAGCTTTCTCAGGACCCGGCCACTGAGACCTTCACTTCTTCTATAGTAAAAGAGAGACAAGTGCAGCTTAAATGCTAAATATCCACTCTTTTAAGATCTTTCCTTTTTCTGTGTTTCTCCCATAAGTTGCTCTAAAAGACTTCAAATCAGAGGTCAGCAGGTCACTTGGAGCACTTTTAGCAGAAGCAGGGAGCAAACAGACAACTTCAGCCTACTTGAGGCTATACGGTACAGAAAAGCAAACAAAGGTACAGGAACATGTGCCTGCTGAAGTCTACATCATGCTCTTTACATCACTGTGCTGTATCTCATGAATTCGGGGGAGTGTCTACACTGAAAGGGTATGGTACAGGCATAACCTTCCATCCACACTTGGAAGGACTTGGAAAATTTGTTTTGAAGGCTGGACCTCACATCTTCTGCTTATCTCCTTCTTCCCACCATTTGCACACAGCTTCTTTGACCTCACCTACTTGATAAATGGTTCCGTCTCTTCCAAGCACCACTCTGTGTATGTAGAACCCAAACCTCTGTGCCTGGAAAAACTTACTAGCTTTTACTGCCCTCCTCACTGGTTAAGACTGTGTACTTTGGGAACTGAAGAAAAACACACTTTCCTCACTTTATGAATGTTATTTTATTTCGTTTCATATGGACCAGCGCTTTGGAAAAAATATTGTTTGACATTGTGAGTATCATTTTTATTGTTTCAAGAATTGTCGTGCTGTCGTGAACGACTATTTGCTCTCCTGGCATACTCAGCAAAACATAACACTCTCCATTTGCACTTCACTCCTTTCCCCTTTGCTTCTGTCCACTTATATCCCCATAAAACCAACCGAATCAATTCTAGGTATTCCAAGACACTTCCTTAGCAGGAACTAAGGCCAGTGCTACTTCTGCTAAACTGCATTACAGTTCACAATATCCCCTGAAACCTAAGGCATCTCACTAATCCAGCCAGCAATTTGCCAAGAGGACTTCAAAGGGCAGAGCAGAAACCAGAAGCAGTTCTAAGCCAAGTCAGATCTGAGACTAAGAAAGGCTGGCAAATCCTGATCTCTTCCATTTTTTGTCCCCTGAAAGGTTTTGCACTACCCCTAACAACTGAGGGGAGAGGAGAGGGACCCCATAAAACCAACCGAATCAATTCTAGGTATTCCAAGACACTTCCTTAGCAGGAACTAAGGCCAGTGCTACTTCTGCTAAACTGCATTACAGTTCACAATATCCCCTGAAACCTAAGGCATCTCACTAATCCAGCCAGCAATTTGCCAAGAGGACTTCAAAGGGCAGAGCAGAAACCAGAAGCAGTTCTAAGCCAAGTCAGATCTGAGACTAAGAAAGGCTGGCAAATCCTGATCTCTTCCATTTTTTGTCCCCTGAAAGGTTTTGCACTAACCCTAACAACTGAGGGGAGAGGAGAGGGAGAGGAGAGCTGTTACAAAATTCAATTTAATCATTTCACAACTCATTAAATATATATATACACACACACATATATATAAAAAAATGTAGAATTTCCAAATCTTACCTTGAGATTTCTTTTAGTACAAGGCTTAACCGTGACACATTATTTTCTATGAAGCCTATCATCTCTAGCTCTCTGAGTGTCAGGAGCTGCTGTCGAGGATATATTATTTGACACTAGAAAGAAGAGTTATACACTGTTATGTGAAAAACTCAAAGACATTAAAAATTAAGCTCTAAAGAAAGAGTGGAAATACAGAAAAAATAAAAATGATATATTTTTGTTATTTAGGAAGTATGATTAAAATGTTAAATTTATTAAGATGGGACATTTTACAGTCTTGCTTTCAAAATATTACCTTCATCAGTTCTTCCAAGCAAGAAAGATATATTCTAAATATTGCTGCACTGGACGGAGGCCCAATGTATTGCTTTATGTCAGCCCTGTCTACAAAGGCCATGTCAATTTTCTCCGTAATATTTGAAGTAGTCAGGATAACTACATTGGGATACCTTCAAGATAAAAGCAGATTTTTAGGTCACACATGCAAGAATTATCTCCTTTTGCAACTGGCAAATCGATGCCTTCCTTCTTATGACTTAAGCCATTTCATGCAATAAGCAGACACATCCCTCTTATCAGCCAGCAATTATGTTAAAAGATCTGAAGCTCCTGGCCAGTTATCACCAATCTATTTCAATGCATAGTCTCTTTCTTTCAGCTGTTTCACCAGCATCTGTAGTTTCTCCCACCCTATTTTAGAAATTATAACTATCTAGAGCCTACTGGCATAGTTTCAGCCACAAACAAACAAAAAGATTATGAACAGAAAACTCCTAAATTTGAACCTTTAATCTACACGTTTTCCATTTCAATTCAGTATAAAGTATATAGTTTAACTGGGACTATGACGCATTCTAACTGCAAGTGATGTTAGAGCGAGCTTAAAAGAGAGGTAACATCTCCTTGCTCTAAGAAATACGGAAAGAATATTCTCAACAAGAGCTATTTTTAGAGGAAGCCTGTGAACTTGCATGTATGAATAAGCCACTTACCATTAATTAGCTGCAAGAGAGGGCTAAATGCTAGGGCATCTTTCTTTCTGTGAACAGAGCCAAGTATGCCCAAAAAGGGGAGGGAAGTGGCAGGAATTAAACAAGAGATAGTAGCCTGCACTAAATGCAGCACACAAAGCAGACCAAGCATCGTTAAAGATTGCTTCTAAGCCACATGTTGTGCAAGTCTGTTTTAGATTGACATCCAGAAGCTGTAAATAATGAATGGATTCTTCATTGATCTTATTCTTGTCTCTCCAAAGCAGATATCATGACCAACTGTCCTGCATCTCTCCCTAGCTTTAAAGGAAGTATACCACTTGTACATTTGATTGTTCATGCAGTTTCACGCCAAACATTCTGTTGGATTACTCCTATTTCTTTTCACAATTAGCACCATTAACACGGAATAGTTCACTAACCGATTTCGTTTAAGATTTTAAATTAAGATTTAGCAGCAATCCTGAAATTGTCAATTACCTTCTGCTGTTGCAATAACATGAGTTTACCTTTTAATCTGATCTATTTGTGTCAGTACAGCATTCACCACACGAATAGCATCTGAAGGCTCCGTGCCCGCCTTGAAGGCGCTGCGGGCTGCCGTGAGGCTTTCTACCTACAAAAAAATCCCAAACCAACCAACTAAACAAGACAACAACAACAAAATATCAGTGAACACAAAAAAAATCCCCTAAAAAAATCCACAGTTGGAGTGCTGGCAGCAATCAAATAACCCAGAGAATACACCTTCAGATCCTTGAGTCTGGTATCTAAAGCTCCATCGTCAAAATCGTTCGTTAAGTAGGAATGTACAGGGAGAGGGAAAGGAGTGGCAAGGAGGCAAAGCCTAGTGAATGAAATTCTAGTTTAGATAGCAGAACAGAGGTTTTTTTTCATTTTAATTAAATTTTGGGATTGGGGGACATACACACAACAGAATAATGAATACATTGAATTTAGAATGAGCTTTTTTTTGTCCCCTGAAAGGTTTTGCACTAACCCTAACAACTGAGGGGAGAGGAGAGGGAGAGGAGAGCTGTTACAAAATTCAATTTAATCATTTCACAACTCATTAAATATATATATACACACACACATATATATAAAAAAATGTAGAATTTCCAAATCTTACCTTGAGATTTCTTTTAGTACAAGGCTTAACCGTGACACATTATTTTCTATGAAGCCTATCATCTCTAGCTCTCTGAGTGTCAGGAGCTGCTGTCGAGGATATATTATTTGACACTAGAAAGAAGAGTTATACACCGTTATGTGAAAAACTCAAAGACATTAAAAATTAAGCTCTAAAGAAAGAGTGGAAATACAGAAAAAATAAAAATGATATATTTTTGTTATTTAGGAAGTAGGATTAAAATGTTAAATTTATTAAAATGGGACATTTTACAGTCTTGCTTTCAAAATATTACCTTCATCAGTTCTTCCAAGCAAGAAAGATATATTCTAAATATTGCTGCACTGGACGGAGGCCCAATGTATTGCTTTATGTCAGCCCTGTCTACAAAGGCCATGTCAATTTTCTCCGTAATATTTGAAGTAGTCAGGATAACTACATTGGGATACCTTCAAGATAAAAGCAGATTTTTAGGTCACACATGCAAGAATTATCTCCTTTTGCAACTGGCAAATCGATGCCTTCCTTCTTATGACTTAAGCCATTTCATGCAATAAGCAGACACATCCCTCTTATCAGCCAGCAATTATGTTAAAAGATCTGAAGCTCCTGGCCAGTTATCACCAATCTATTTCAATGCATAGTCTCTTTCTTTCAGCTGTTTCACCAGCATCTGTAGTTTCTCCCACCCTATTTTAGAAATTATAACTATCTAGAGCCTACTGGCATAGTTTCAGCCACAAACAAACAAAAAGATTATGAACAGAAAACTCCTAAATTTGAACCTTTAATCTACACGTTTTCCATTTCAATTCAGTATAAAGTATATAGTTTAACTGGGACTATGACGCATTCTAACTGCAAGTGATGTTAGAGCGAGCTTAAAAGAGAGGTAACATCTCCTTGCTCTAAGAAATACGGAAAGAATATTCTCAACAAGAGCTATTTTTAGAGGAAGCCTGTGAACTTGCATGTATGAATAAGCCACTTACCATTAATTAGCTGCAAGAGAGGGCTAAATGCTAGGGCATCTTTCTTTCTGTGAACAGAGCCAAGTATGCCCAAAAAGGGGAGGGAAGTGGCAGGAATTAAACAAGAGATAGTAGCCTGCACTAAATGCAGCACACAAAGCAGACCAAGCATCGTTAAAGATTGCTTCTAAGCCACATGTTGTGCAAGTCTGTTTTAGATTGACATCCAGAAGCTGTAAATAATGAATGGATTCTTCATTGATCTTATTCTTGTCTCTCCAAAGCAGATATCATGACCAACTGTCCTGCATCTCTCCCTAGCTTTAAAGGAAGTATACCACTTGTACATTTGATTGTTCATGCAGTTTCACGCCAAACATTCTGTTGGATTACTCCTATTTCTTTTCACAATTAGCACCATTAACACGGAATAGTTCACTAACCGATTTCGTTTAAGATTTTAAATTAAGATTTAGCAGCAATCCTGAAATTGTCAATTACCTTCTGCTGTTGCAATAACATGAGTTTACCTTTTAATCTGATCTATTTGTGTCAGTACAGCATTCACCACACGAATAGCATCTGAAGGCTCCGTGCCCGCCTTGAAGGCGCTGCGGGCTGCCGTGAGGCTTTCTACCTACAAAAAAATCCCAAACCAACCAACTAAACAAGACAACAACAACAAAATATCAGTGAACACAAAAAAAATCCCCTAAAAAAATCCACAGTTGGAGTGCTGGCAGCAATCAAATAACCCAGAGAATACACCTTCAGATCCTTGAGTCTGGTATCTAAAGCTCCATCGTCAAAATCGTTCGTTAAGTAGGAATGTACAGGGAGAGGGAAAGGAGTGGCAAGGAGGCAAAGCCTAGTGAATGAAATTCTAGTTTAGATAGCAGAACAGAGGCTTTTTTTCATTTTAATTAAATTTTGGGATTGGGGGACATACACACAACAGAATAATGAATACATTGAATTTAGAATGAGCTTCCCGATAGGAACTCCAATATAACAAAGCTAATAAAGTACATACTTATTAAGTTGCTTAGGTATACAAGCCTGAGGAGAATCTAAACAATGAACTGAAGCATAATAATGATTTTTAGAGCTTTCTGACATAGTAAGAGTACAAATAATATAAATCCAGGCTATTTTGAAGTTTAAAGCAATACCCCATCTGTAAGCACACAGCAGCAAAGGGAATTTCCACCCAGAAAGGTTTTGCTTCATTTTCAGCTGGAATTTGCCCGGTAAGTCATACTGTGTTCCTCCCAAATCTCTCAAGACTGCAGTAGTCAAGATTAAAATTCACTCTTCTGCACACAGTTGTGTAACTTACAAAAAAGCATAAACATGCTTTTATTATCCTTTGCGAATAAGCATTATCACAGTTCCTTCCTATCAATTTGCTTTCTGCTAAATTTTATGTACATCAACACTATTAGAACCATACCTCATCAATCAGTACGAATACAAGAGCATCTTTGTCATCAATTAACTCTTGAATCTTCTGGAACATCTTGGTTACAAGTTTGCCACTCTATAAAGAGACCATATGCATACATTTAACTATTTCCTTGTCACAAAACTTTCCAAGTCTTACCAAATTTAAAGATGGAAATACCTGTTTTTCAGAATAACTTTCTAATATAGCTTCTGTTTAAGTGTTCTCAAACGTATTATTTATTCTGAGTAATTTTGGTGTGCACAGTTATTTTATGAAACAAGCTCTAAAAGACAAAGTCTACTTAATTAGCTACATCAATACATACCTCAGAAAACCATTTCGAGAAAAGGCTATGGCTGTTTATCTCAATTAACTGTCCATATCTATACCTAAAGTATGAATGGAAAAAGAAGTATCAACTCTCAAGTCAGTGATATCATTATCTTCTGTACATTTCATTCCCTCTACCTCACCCTGGAATTCTGTGAAGCAGTACTTTAAATTACTCACTTCTAAAAACATAATACCCATGTTTATTTATATATAGTTTAAGTAACAACCAGCATGCTAATGGCCTCATTCTGTTCGTGTAAGATTTTGTTCAGGATAGCAAAACATATAAAAGCATGAAGCTTATTTACTTAGCTCTGCATGGATATCCTTAGGACAAAATAATCTCAACCACATTTTATACAGCCCATGTTTATCATAAATTCAGCTTGGGCTAGAGTCAGATCACTCCAATAATTAAAGATTATTTATGGTACATCTAGTATTTTGTATAACATTTATTTTTTATATACATTTGTTAAGTTGCTATGAAGTTTAAAAATAACCCTTATTATTTGTCTGATACACAAACTGCCCTCTGCAGACTGTGGCATTCAGACAATCCAATTAAAAACCAAATTGGTTACAATATTACTACCTATTAAAACAGGCTTTCTTGAACATGAAGATACAAACAACAGGCTTGATACTCTATGATCCTGAGCACAAACAAATGACTAGATCACCACTGGAATGTTTTACATATCTGGGCACAAATAACTACACATTTTAGAAGGCATTAACATATTCTTATCAGTCTCTCTATGAGATAAAATTTATTGCTAGCCAGGTGCACTATAAAAGAACTATGAACATCAGCACTTGGCACCAGTTACTTGAAAACAAATATTAAATATCTTTGGGCTACTGAAAAAGAACAATTAACAATAGTAAACTCAAGTGAAAAAAATCCAAAAACGATCACCTGTATGACAGTCGAATTGCCAGCTTCTGAGCCAACGCTTTACAGAGAGAGGTTTTACCAGTTCCAGGAGGGCCTGGTTTGAAATTAAATCCATACATTACACAAAATCTGCATCAGATTGTTAATTACACGTAACGCTTTTTTAACTACCGTATTTCATTACAGCACTAATTGTAGAATAAAAATACAGGAGACAATGATTGTGAACATCAGGCTATTTTGAGAAGGTTGCTTACTCCACTACAGTCCTACAGCTGAAAATTATATAAATCCAAAGTTCCATTATTACTATAGTTATTGGAGTAGTTTGTATGCAGACACCATAAAGTTAAAGTACTCCACAGCCACAGTTTCAAAGTGTATCATCCTAGCAGGACTTAGCATTCTCAAAAAAACAGTGCTGCTTAAACTTAAGTCTTCACCGTAGCATTGTCAAAAAACAGTGCTGCTTAAACTTAAGTCTTCCTGAAACACACCTTTCTAACGTGCAAAACAGAAACCCATCATGCCCAGTTTGATCAGCTGACCCCAGAAATCTCAGGAGTTAAGCTCTGGGACAAATCTTTTGGATCTGCCTTGAAGCTCTACGGAAGAGCCACGCAGACATTCTCCAAACAGACAAGTACAAGCACAGTTACACAGGGTATGAACATATGGAATTTGATGCGTGGACGCTAAATAAACCACTGACATCAACCAGATGCCAGTGCTTCTGTTCAAAGCCAGTACCACCGTTATAGCATAAATATATTTTGCACTACAACAGGCATCTCTTTCCCAGTATTGATCTCTTTGTGATCAGAATAATGAGCTCGTCACTAAAATGAAATATATCTATCATAGATATATTGTTAACAGCCTGAAATAGTTTTCCAAAAAACAATATCCTGCAGCTTCAAAACTGATAAATAGTTATAACTTAAGTATAATCAACACCCATAACAAACATTTCCACTATGACTTTTTATTTTTAAATACCAGTCTTGATGACAAAATGGTAAATAATCAATAGCAAGCTGCATTTTGCAAGAAAATAGATTCAGTTGTTACTAACTAATCTCGTTTTCATGGTATAACCTCCACAGAAACCCACTTCTCCAAAAATCTCAGGAGTTAAGCTCCAGGACAAACCTTTTGGATCTGCCTTGAAGCTCTACAGAAGAGCCACACAGACATTCTCCAAACAGACAAGTACAAGTACGGTTACACAGGGTATGAACATATGGAAGTTGATGCATGGATGCTAAACAAACCACTGACATCAACCAGATGACAGTGCTTCTGTTCAAAGCCAGTACCACCATTATAGCAAAAAGGTATTTTGCACTACAACAGGCATCTCTTTCCCAGTATTAATCTCTTTGTGATCACAATAATGAGCTTGTCACTAAAATGAAATATATCTATCATAGATATATTGTTAACAGCCTGAAATAGTTTTCCAAAAACCAATATCCTGCAGCTTCTAAACTGATAAATAGTTATAACTTAAGTATAACCAACGCTCATAACAAACATTTCCCCTATGACCTTTTATTTTTAAATACCAGTTTTGATGACAAAATGGTAAATAATCAATAGCAAGCTGCATTTTGCAAGAAAATAGATTCAGTTGTTACTAACTAATCTCATTTGCATGGTATAACCTCCACAGAAAGCTAGGGCTGACTGAAGATTATGGCTTCACTGAAATTGTTAGCAAGAGCACTGCCTTCATACTTGTCAATAGAACACACAGTCTTAATAAGAAAACACACAGATTGACTTCCCAGTTTCTAAACTAAAGTTTTTATAAAGGAGTAACTAAGAAATTTTTTAATATTACAACTGAACTGTAACTAATATATGGCTCCTAATGCCCTCGGTATCTGTATTATTTTTGCACTTTATAAAAAAAGAACAGTAACAGTTAAGAATGAAAACTTAAAAAAAGAATTGTTGTAACTGCATTATAAATTTTAGAATTTAAATTCCTGCAAAACGTAGTACATATGAACATTGATTTGATTCTGCCATTACATTTCATCTAAATTTCACTACACAGAAGTGCAATACAAGTTTTCTCAAAAAGAAAGTATAAACAGATGGACAATGAATCTACTTGCTTTAAGACAGAATTTTTACCATGCAGCAAAACAACTCTGTTCCACGAGATCAGGTTGCTGTCAACATTTTTGTCAGAAAACAGTAATGTTGTCGTCACATAATCAAGTAACTAATTGAAGAGGAGAAAGAGACACACAAATTAGAGACATAGCAGCAAATACAACTACAAACATGATACCACTTCTTTCTACCAACATAGACATACAGACAACAGTAATCAACTCGCTGTTATTTAGTATTCAGTACGTCTAATTAAACAGTCTCGTCATTTCACAGATGATTTGGGAAGTAGTTCCATAAATTAGACAAATGTTGGTATGTTAATTGATGTTTACCTTATAAGTGAAGCAGTACAATCACTGGAATGTTTTGCTTTACTATAGATGGTTATAAAGACTTAAGTGAGAATACTGTATCTATGGTATTATAAACAAGATAATGAATTAATTATTAACTAGTAAACTTCAGGTAGAAGCATATATTTTTTTAACAAGCACAATAAACATCTTAATGAGTGCTGTCATAACAGCAACTGAGTTGAATCACTTTTGGTTTTTACTCACATGACAGTTGCTAAATTTCAGATTAGAGTATTACAGTTCTATAAGCTTTGGCAGTTATCACTGCAACCTTTGATGAATGCACAGAATCTTCAAAATAGAAAATGACCCCAAACCAGAGACACAACAGATCTTTTGGGACCTTCTCAATGGAGAAATAGAGAAATTATTTCAAAGAATGTCGTGTATGTTTTTTTCTAAGCCTCTCGAAAGTTATTTTTTTCCACCAATTTTCTTCCCCCTTTCTAGAAAAATGTGCAATTAATGAGCCTTAAAACAACGTGCAGTAATTTACTAAAATGAATTTCTATTCTATTAATTCTACAGAACCTTAATGTTTTCTTCACGCAGACTGATGAATATATCTAAAGCAAAAGTGAAAAATTTCTGAGAAATTTTAAGTTGCTACCAAAACAACACCTCCAGCTGTTAAATTTCTGATTTCTGTAAAATAAGCCAACGCATACGAAGAAATTTTTTGTAATTTGTGGGATAAGCATCACTGAACCCAGTTTCACAAGGACATAGGTTATCTGCAAAGCTGACTTCACAGTAGTACATATCGACATATATCAGAGACACGATGTTTAATCTCAAAACGTCAGCTCTGCCTTCTTTTGTTAAGCATATATCAGAGAAGTATGGAACTATCAAAATTATGTGGAGATTTTAACAAGAATATAAAGCTTTGCAACATGGCTAAGACTAAACTACCTTTCAAAATATAGACTTGTAATAAGCAGATATCAGAATTCTTTCTTGAGCTGGTGATTTCCAAACAACTGCTCCATGGGATGCAGCAAAGTTCAAACAGGCTACATTTCAACTCTTCCTTCTCTTCAAGCAATTTTAATTGTTATTTATTTTCAACTTACATGCGATTTTACTTCACTGTCATATATAAGACTTTCCCAAAGGCCATGGAATTCAGCTGCAAAAGCAATATATTATACACCTGTTTAGAATAAATCAATCTAGGAACTTGAAATCTACTATTACAGCACAAAGCAGTTTTCAAATTATTCTCAATTAAAATTAATGATTAAGAACAAATTTAGGAGAGCAATTAAAATATATGGAAAGAAACGTGTATTATTTTTCTCAAAATGCAAACACTAATGTCAAACAGACAAATTTAGCAGTTTCACAACTTTAATTTCTCCTCACAATCATTGGAGGAAACAAATCTTTTTAATGTCTTAAAATGAAAGGAAAAATATCATTCTTTTCCATTTCTCTAGGGGATGGACCTACATTTTCACAAGATAAAGAGCTATGAGAAACTGGGGTGGGAGGAGAGTTCTAAGCCTAATATTATCTTTTTTTTTTTTTTTTTTAATTTTTAACATTACCATGTAGGGGAAGAAAAAAACCAAAACATGTA